CATTGATTACATTCACAAAGCAAAATCATTAAGAAATCTGAACATTGTCAAAAAGAGAAACGTTCACAATTGTAACTCATTGATTTATTCAAAGAGAGTTTTGAAAGTACAGAGAAGCACATATTAGAAAATGTAAATCGGACCATTTTAAATAAGAGTTTCGAATGAAATCCTAAAATAAGCTAATTTTAGATGAACAAATGAGACGAAAGAACAACTTTGATTGAACCAGTCAAACGCGTCTATGTGAAATAAACTCTGCAAATAGAGCATCACGCCTAGTTGTATCTTGTCCAAAATCATACACATCTCCTGAAGACGGGTTGCCAGTAGGCCTTGCAGGTCCAGCGTTGCGAAAAGAGGCTTGTTGGTTGGCCCCAAACTCGGTATGCCACTCTTCCCCGTTTGCTTTTGAGAAGTTATGTAAGATTATACATACTCGAATCCAAGAATTCACTCTTTTAGCGCTTGATACCCCACATAATAAGACCCTGATCTCTTTTAAAGACTGGAACCTCTCCTTCAGCATACCAATGCTTTGTTCAATTACTACCCTCCACTTACTTAACTCCTCATTGAAAGCATTTTTGTTATTTCCCAAACGTCGACCCTGGCAGCGTTTGAACGGCGTAATCACGTGTGGAGATAAAGTGTAACCTGAATCCGCCAATAGATACTCGTCATCTTCCAGGAATTCTTCAGGATTTGTGAAGAGCTTCAAGGAAGTCGGTTAGATACCCTGGAATGCCTACATCAAGCTCACATCGCAAAAAAAACTTACTACAGAAGAACGAAAAACCCTTTGATCATGAGCAGACCCGCACCAACCCAGCTCGTAGAATCGTATGGTTTTGTGTATGTCACAGACTAGCATCACGTTGAAAGCATAAAAATTCTTGCGTGTCCAGTAGTCTTCCGGATTGTTCACCGGTGCATAGGCCAGTGGAATCAGAGTCCCATCCATGAAGCCCACTGTATCTGTGAAGACAGTGGACTTCATTTCAGATTTGAGTGATAATTGTTCGTCTTCATCTGGCCAAAAGACCCATTCTTTTTCGATTTCAAGGATGGCATATATACATCGATTGGTCCAGTTTTGAACACTACCTTCTAAAAGATTGCACCGTATCAGTAAACAAAATGAACCGAACAAAGTTTCACCAAAGGAGGAAGTTGTTTCACCTGAAATGTGAAACATATATGCTATATGTGAGTGATCGCCTCCGTTTCCCGAAGATCCAAGGTTTGCTAGAGCCACAAGCAGCTGCCAAGGCACCGGTGCTTGTTTGTGATTTGACCAACTTTGAAATACCTCACTGGACTTAATCAAGTCCACCAATGTCCAAAAACGCTCCTCGCTCATTCGAGCCTAAAAGAGGAAGTCAAATAGCAAATATTAGCTGAAAGCAAGAAACTATCAGAAATCGCACTTACTATAGCTATAAAGGAATCACCTCCTTCCCAAAATCGGTGCGGAAACGAGGTGTTTCTTAAGTCTTTCCGTTCACGAGATGGCCGATCATGAACATAACGGGTTGTATTCAAAATGTGTAAAGCCTCTTCCAGGCGATGGACTTCATTTTGAGCTATTTGACGTAGACGACGTCCAAGTAGTAGAAGCTTGACTGACTTTGCACAGGCCAAGTGGAACTCCAGCGCGCCTAGCAACAAAAGCAACAAGGGCTTCTTAGCCACGAGATCATCAATAACATCATTATCCTTATCCGCTAGAGCCTCCGATTGTTGGTTTTGATGCGTGATGATTGCTTGCAGACAACGAAGTATGAATAAACTTTCATGATTTCTTTTTTTCACTAATGCTAAAGTTGAAAAGTTCGGCTGTGTGATGCGATTCTTCTCGTTGATTGCCAGATGGACTGACCGTTTCAGAAGTCGACGACGGCTTGATCGAGGCATTGCAGGAGGAGTAGGAGGTGTGGTAGAGCGGATTTGAGACAAGTGTAGTTTTGAGATAAGCTGGCTGATGGTGATGTAAAGTGATGATGTGAGTGGGGACGAGGGGTGGTGGATGAGTCATGTAGTGGGGTTTCTGGTGTTCTGGAAGTGCGCTGCGTTCAAATATGCCAAAAGCCAGAAAGCCAGAACTCACCAAAAAAAAAACTTCTGGCATTCTGGAAAAAACCTTTGGGAAATTTCCAGAACATATTTGTATACCCTATAACTATCCCACTCAGCTCCTATGTTCTTGAATTCTAAGCATGTACTAATCCTTGTATCTATATGAAGATTATTGATGAGATTCTCAAAAATGATCAGCAAGACGACGCCGATTGTTGAGCTACAAATACGTGCAACCCCACCATCAACTACACTAAAGGATGCTTCCTCAAGATCAGCTTCACCCCGGATGATTGGAAGCTGATCAAGACAGTTAACCTTGAGCTCGAGGTTACTACATTTTTTTCATTAAACATGGCTTTGTGCTGATCAATCTATGTTCTTTAGCATTTTGCACAGCTTACCAAACGAATGGAAGGCGATGGCCCAACTGGCTCAATGGTAATCCGAGAATACCTCAAGCTCAAGACTCGCTTGGAGTCCAAACTTCTCCAAGAATTAACCACCTCTCCGATGTATCCGATGCATTATGCTATGCTCACGCAAGTGAAGAGGTACCTTGCCGAAGCAACATCCTCACATGCTCTCTTGATGGCCACAATCCTTCATCCAAGCTGGAGAGCCAGCTTTTCCAATGCAGGATTTGGACCTCGATCTCCTGTAACTGCAAAAGCCAACAAACTGTTGGCTGATGCATACTATTCTCGCAAGCATCAACTTGAACAAAACCATTCATCACAAGCTCCAGCATCTCAACCAGAAGCAACACCTACAAGTGCCGAATGCAACGACAATGCATACGACCCAATGTTACATCTCCATGATGCACAAAAGGGGAACTCTACAATTGATGAACTAACTGAATATCAGCTTTCACATGATGCACCTTCACAGGATGTTGCAATGGACCCTAACCTGGCATTGAAGTGGTGGCAGGTGAGTTCTCTTCATCTTCTTTTTTTCTTGTAAATTAGGTCAAGAGTCTGAAATTGAATTCTCTCATTGACAGAGCCACGAAGGAAAGTACCCTATTCTTTCAAGTCTAGCTCGCCGATATCTTGCTGTCAGTGGGAGCTCGGCCGCTGGTGAGCGAACGTTTTCATCAGCTGCGGATGTCTGCACCACAGACCGTGGAACATTAGTTCCAAGGACAATTGAATGTTGTGTGAGTAGTTGGCTATGGATTTCAAATGGAGTCCCACTAGATTCAGGATTTGAGGAGGCCTACCGGATTATGGAGGAGTGCATCAAGGATGATAAAGCTGCTCAGGTTTTACACAAGACTATGAACCAGCCTCCACATTTTGCTGGCGATTGAGTTCGTTCTGTTCATTGTTCTGTTCATTGTTCTCATTTCAAGCTTATGAACTTTTCTCTTCACAAAATGTATTTAATGAATAGTGTATAACAAGTGAAAAATTGATAGTAATTGTGTTGAAATAATAAGGCAAGCCATGCAATAGATCAAACAATAATTGATGTGCAATCCAAAGCCAAAGATAAAAAGAAATCAACAGAGTGAAGCGAGGTTTTTATGATATTTTCTTTCAATTTCAAGTTGCATTCAATGAATATCAATGGAAAGCATCTCATTTGTGCATCCCTGATGTTGCCATGGAGTCAAACAGAGAGAGCAAGAGAAGTACCGGAAGTATCGAATTCCAGAGGCCGATACTATACTATACCCAGGGTAAAAAAAGTACCGGTGCCTACGGTACTATACTAGTATTGGCTGATACTAGTATAGGATATTACAGTGGCTGTGTTGCACCAAGGAAAGACAGCTGTTTTTTTTTGTGCGTTGTTGCAAACAGACATGGGATGAGTACCACCGTGTCCGTATCCGTGTAGCACGTCAACGTGCACACACCAAATACTTTCAATACATACTTGAAAGACCCATTAAAGAGGTCTCCACAATAGGCATGTCTTCCCTTTGTCAACTGGGACGTTGGCACTCAGTTGAACCCAACTGCTGACAAAGGATCCCACAAATTCTTTTGTCAAATTGTCATTCACAAAGGGTGCTTGGCACCGATCTCAGTCTAAAGCCTACCAAACAGCTTTCTGTTTTTCTTCACAACTCTCCGTGTGTGCACGTCGACGTGCTACACGGATACTGACATGGTGTACCCTTGAGATAAGAAGCAATCTCATTTCAATTGACCTCAGGCTCTTGAGCCTCGAAAAGATGTAACAGATTGTTGGGACCCGCCTTGTTTGATGACACAGTCTTAGGAGCCTTACAAGCATGTTGATTTTGTGTCTTACTTGCAGTTGAATCAAGCTGTATCTTGTGAGTATTGAATAGATCTTGTAAGAGCTTACATGCTTGACTGGTTACTTTGTGTTCCATTGACAACACCACCGGCGCTCCGCTCCGCTCCACTATATCTCGAAATTTCATGAGCGGAGCAATTCAGCGCTATGATAAAACGCTAATTGCTCCGCTATTCTTTTTGGAGCGCTATGACTTCTGAGAGCGGTGCGGTCTTTTAGATCGCTCCGCTCCGCTATAGGCAAGTCTCACGTTTGAAAGCGCCTAAAAGCGCTGTTGGGAATTTTTTAAATAGAAAAGTCAAAGAGAAAAAAAGAAAGAAAACTGACCTGTTTAGTAGGACTTTGATCAAGACTAATAAACTTATTAAAAAAGAAATCAGCACCAGCTTATGATCTATCTTGATCAGTTGCATGTGATGGTAAGGGTTGAAAGTCAAGAAAGTAATTTTAAATTTTTGAATCCTGAATTTTTCTTTAGACAAATTGGTTTCATCTAAAACAAAATTATAAAAGTTTTTGTCAACCATCCTGAATTACAAATCGAATAAAATATGTTCATTCAATAGCACTATAGCTGTTACATTTTAAGAACAATGAATCTATTTCTTCCTTTCACTTCCCTGACCTCCCACATCCAACATTCAATAATTCAATCGACCAATCACAAAGACAGTTGCAGTAATCCCAGTTCTCCCGACTCTGGATCTTAATACATCTCGATCGTTTGGTAAATAACCTGGTTTTCCGATCCAATCTATAGAATCAAAATGATATGCTGCTGAAACATTAAGCCTATAAAAAGATGAAAAGAACAGATGAAATCAAAAAGGATCACTAGTTATTTTCAAGAGAAATGAAAAACTGAGCTGATACTCTCCATTACAATCGGAACTTTGATGTACATCAGGATCATTCCAAAGTAAACAAATAGCTTGTACAGCAGAGGGATCTGAAGGTTGATCTTCAATTTGAGGAGGTAGAGAACAAATCAATTTGGCTAATGGTTCTAATTGAGATGAACCTAATGGGATTTCTATCATTTTCATCTGTTGAAAACTCCAATCGACGCACTCAGTTATGTACATAACAAGCAACACCTAACCGCAAGTGATTTGCAATCCCAGAAGAACATCACCAAGATTCAATCTTAGACAAGAAGAAAGAAGATCATTAACATTACCCCAACTAATCAAATCAAAAGTTTTCATTCCTTATATACCAAAATCCTCTCTCATCGTACTTCTCTTTTCCCCATCTTTGGGAAGAGAAGTACGTAAATTTCACTATTTCATTCATTGACTGTTTTATCATTAACAATACTTTTCTCTATGTTTCGTTTCTTATGTTTTCTATTTACCTTATAGTCTTGTCTCTTGTGCTACTCCAAAGATCAGTTATCAAAGCTTAAGATAACTTCAACTAACTCGTTCTACATTACTATTCTGAACCTGCTCACAGGTACATTCAACTTTCCCCTTTTTCTCTATATTTTCTCTATTAACTTGTTTGGTGTTGTAGGTCAGAAGCCTTTTTACTAGAACGTGTGGTTGAGTCAGTAGCTTATCAAAGCCAAGGTGCTTTATATCAGGTGAATAAAATTATATCTTTGGGAAGAGAATCTTGTCTCTTGTGCTACTCCGAAGATCAGTTGTTGAAGCTTAAGATAACTTCAACTAACTCGTTCTACATTACTATTCTGAACCTGCTCACAGGTCAGAAGCCTTTTTACTAGAACGTGTGGTTGAGTCAGTAGCTTATCAAAGCCAAGGTGCTTTATATCAGGTCAGAAGCCTTTTTACTAGAACGTGTGGTTGAGTCAGTAGCTTATCAAAGCCAAGGTGCTTTATATCAGACCCGTGTTTTCAGGCTCCAAAACATTCACATGGTAGCGAGAGTAATTTCAAACGATCCAACTATTGAATGAGTCTGAATCCGGATAAATTCTTCGCACAAACGACCAGTCCAATCCCTCCATCTGATAACTCAGACAACGAAGGTGATCGCACATCCGTCAATATCTCCTCTTCGCTCAGACCACCACCACAATCCAGCTCTCTTAATCCATTATCTAAACCAGCCATGTCATCATCAATGCCACCGTTACCAGTTGAAATGAATGTTCAACAACAAGCAATGATCTTAAACCAATCTCTTGATAGATCCCTAAAAAAGCTCACCGATGAAACATACATGCTATGGGCCTCTTTCATCAAGTCAAGACTAAAATCAATGTTCATATCTGAATACTTAATCTCTGATTCCATCAAACTTGAAAATAGTCAATTCGATGACGAGGTTAGCAGAGCTTGTATTACAAGCTGGATGCTAAACAATATGGACGATATCAACAGAGCTAGATTCAAGCCTAAGATGACTATCTATGAAGACGATGGACCAGACACTCAAAACCTACCAGCAAAACTTTGGAAGGCTATCACCACGCACCATTCAGGAAGATCTGAAGAACTTCGATTATTATTAGAACGTTCTTTGAATCTTATTGTCCAAGCCCCCAATCTGCCTCTTTTAACTCATATCGAAAATTTCCAAACCGCCGTCACAAAGTACAAAACAGCAGGCGGAACAATGAGTGATGAAGATCTTGGCAGAAAGTTATTAATCTCCCTAAACAACAGCTACTTTCAAGATGCAAAAGAAATCGCAATTGCTGGTATAAAAGATTATGATTTGGTTGTGTCTGAATTAAAGAAAAGGATGGACGCCGTTGCAATGTTAACGAAGAACCCAATTGTCACAAAGCAAACGACCATTCTGAATCACTCAGCTGAAGCTAGTTTCGTCTCTAACTCTTATTCTCGTAACAAAAATCAAAACAAATGCACTAAAAAGAAATGCAGGGGCATTAATCATACTCCGGACATGTGCTTTAAGAAACCTGGCAACGAACACCTTCAAAGAGAATGGATTGAACAAAGGGTCAAGCTTGGTCAATGGAACGGTGAACCGCCAAGAAATCTCACCAAATCATCCTCTGCCGCCACCATCTTCAAGGACGAACCAACCATCGAGCAACTCGAAGATGCCTTCAACTCCATGAGTCCTTGCGCCAGCCACATGTCGGTTCAAGCCTTGTCAATTACTAATGATCATCGGCAACCAAACGATATCGACGTGCTTATTGACACGGCAGCTTCACACCATATGTTCAAAGACAAACATGTGTTCACCAACTATCATAACCTGGAAAGCTCCAATAATTCCCTTAAAATGGCAGGAGGAAAAGCTACACTCAAAATTGTTGGCAAAGGCGAAGTGAATTTCTTAGGTCCTGACGGTCATCACTTTACTTTAAAAAATTGCTTGCACATTCCCGACCTCAAACGCAGTCTTATTGGTGGAACAATCCTACTAAAGGACGATTTCATCACTAAGAAGGACAATCGTTTCATAATCACCAAGAACAATAAATGCGCTTTCACTGGGACTTTGAGTGATAACGTCAACCTACTCAGATCCTCGGTGAGAATTCAACACATCACTTCAACGCCTGAAGCCAACACCATCACCTCCAGTACTGACGAAAACGTTCTCAATCTGCACCGTCGTCTAGGTCACCCGAATGTCCAATATATGAAAACTATGCTGCTACATGGAAGTCTCATAGGACTGGATCTTAAAGCCTCGTCCATTCCTGACAGCCTATCTTGTACCCCCTGTGATCTTTCTAAAGCCCATCGCATTCCCCACAACAAAACTCATGTCCGTAGCTTAAATCTGTTAGAAAACATTCACCTGGACCTTAGTGGTATTATCAGATCAGTCGCGGTGGATGGAAGCATGTATTTTATGTTATTCACCGATGACTTTTCAAGATATAGGCATGTAGTGGGTCTAAGCACCAAATCAGCAGATGTTGTCTTCAATAAAATCAAGCAATACATTACCCTAGTAGAAAGGCAGTGTAATTCAGAAGTCAAGATGTTCACCCTCGACAATGGTTACGAGTTCATCAACGATATGCTAGTGCCCTATTGTAAAGATCTGGGTATCTACCTCCGTACCACTGCCACTTACACACCAGAAGAAAATGGTGTAGCTGAAAGATCAAATCGGACTATCACTGAGCCGGCACGAGCTATTATGCTCGAAGCCAACCTACCTGTCAAATTCTGGATCTACGCCATTAAAGCTTCTGTCTACTTAAAAAACCGCACCATCTCCTCATTGCTTCCTTTAGGTAAAACACCTTTCCAATTATGGAATGGAAGACAACCCAACGTCAGCCACGTTAAACCCATCGGTTGCTTATGCTACGTTTTAATACGTAAAGCCATTCGCGGTGGTAAGTTTCAACCTGTTTCACGTCAAGCCATTCTGCTAGGCCACACAGAACACAACCTCAACTATGAGGTCTTCATCATTGAATCCAACACTATTGTCGTGTCTCATGACGTTCTTTTTCGAGAAACATCTTTTCCACTCAAGAAGATGAAAGCTTTCGACCTATCGCACCTGTCCTTTGATGAAGAGGAAAACGCACTTTTACCGGATCCTTCCGTTGATAATCCTGCAATCGAGGAAATCAACGACGACGTCCCATACCCTGGTGGTGAAGGAATGCACCAGGAGGAAGAAAACCTAAATGTCTCTGAACCCCTTTTTACTCAACCTATCGAGCTACCTCAGCGCACGGAAGATGTCCCTCAATACCAGCCTAGACGGTCCACTAGAGAACGAGTCCCTGTTGAACGCTATCGTCCTTCCGCCAGTTTCGCCGACTGGGATGACGATGGTGCCTTCATGGATCTTCATGATCACTTCCCGTATGCATTCGCTGTCGGAACCGTTGTTTGTTTGGTTAATGAACCTCATAACTTCAAATCGGCAATGAACAACTCAGACCGTGACAAATGGAAAGCAGCCTGCGGCAAGGAAATTCAGAACATGCATGATCGCAAAGTATGGCATCTAGTACCACAACCAACTAATAGACCCGTGGTAGGCAGCCGATGGCATTTCAAAGTCAAGCTACATCCAGATGGAACAATCAATAAATATAAAGCTAGATTTGTTGCCAAAGGTTATACACAAACCTACGGCATTGACTACACCGACACCTTTGCTCCAACAGGTAAACCCTCAGCATTTCGAGCCCTAGTAGCCTTCGCAACCTATCATGGCTACGAAATTCATTCTATGGACGCCATTGCAGCCTTCCTCAATAGCAAACTCAAAGAACAAATCTATATGGAGCAGCCAGAAGGCTACGAAGAGGGTGAGGAAGATGATGATCTTGTCTGTGAGGTAGATCAGGCGCTATACGGACTCAAGCAATCGGCAAGAGATTGGAATGACGACTTCAAGAAGAAATGCATCAAGGCCGGGTTCAAGCAATCACCCGCTGATGAATGTGTGTACATCAGAAGACGCATCAATGAGGTTTGTTTATTCTACCTACACGTAGACGACTTGGCCATCACTGGCAACAAAATTCAAGAATTCAAGAAGGAAATCAGCACCTTCTGGCCAATGGAAGACCAAGGCATCTCAACTTGCGTGGTAGGTATTCAACTTGTCCGTGCTTCAAATCACCACTACATCATTGGTCAGGAGGCAATGACGCGCTCGCTTCTTGAGCGTTTTGGAATGACCGACTGCAAATCTGCATCCACACCTTTCCCAGGCGGGACAAAGCTCACTAAATCCACCGATGACGAGGCTCGCTCGTTCGCTTTACTAAACCTCCCATACAACAGTGGTGTGGGAAGCCTTATGTATCTATATCAATGTACCCGCCCTGACATTACATATGCGGTGGGATGTCTTTCTCAACACCTCCACAAGCCCTCTTTACGACACTGGGAGGCATTCAAGCACGTCCTGCGATACTTGTCAGGCACCATCAACCACTGTCTTCACTACACCAACACAGCATCAACCGCCGTTTCAAGCAACAACGGATATACTCTCCCAGAACACTTTGCCGACGCGGACTGGGCAGGTGACAAAAGCACTCGCCGTTCTACCACTGGATACATTTTTCTTTTTTGTGGTGGCGCAATCAGCTGGCGGAGTCGGCTTCAACAAACTGTTGCTAAATCATCCACGGAGGCAGAATACCGCGCCGCTAATGAAGCGGGCAACGAAATGATATGGCTCGCCAGATTTATGGAGTCCATTGGTTTCACTCAACCTACACCCTACCTACTCAACTGTGATAGCTTGAGTGCTATAGACCTTTCAAAGGATGCTGTTCTACACGGACGTACAAAAGCAATCGAAATTCACTTCCATTGGTTGCGCGAAAAGGTTAATGAAGGTATCATCAAACTTACACACTGCAAGACAGAAGACATGATCGCGGATATCCTAACTAAACCATTACATCCTGGGCCCTTCAACAAGTTTAGACGCCAAATAGGCTTAAAACACATTGACGAGTAAGGGTCTTTTGATTCTGTCGATTGAAGGGGGGTGTTGAAAACTCCAATTGACGCACTCAGTTATGTACATAACAAGCAACACCTAACTGCAAGTGATTCGCAATCCCAGAAGAACATCACCAAGATTCAATCTTAGACGAGAAGAAAGAAGATCATTAACATTACCCCAACTAATCAAATCAAAAGTTTTCATTCCTTATATACCAAAATCCTCTCTCATCGTACTTCTCTTTTCCCCATCTTTGGGAAGAGAAGTACGTAAATTTCACTATTTCATTCATTGACTGTTTTATCATTAACAATACTTTTCTCTATGTTTCATTTCTTATGTTTTCTATTTACCTTATAGTCTTGTCTCTTGTGCTACTCCAAAGATCAGTTATCGAAGCTTAAGATAACTTCAACTAACTCGTTCTACATTACTATTCTGAACCTGCTCACAGGTACATTCAACTTTCTCCTTTTTCTCTATATTTTCTCTATTAACTTGTTTGGTGTTGTAGGTCAGAAGCCTTTTTACTAGAACGTGTGGTTGAGTCAGTAGCTTATCAAAGCCAAGGTGCTTTATATCAGGTGAATAAAATTATATCTTTGGGAAGAGAATCTTGTCTCTTGTGCTACTCCGAAGATCAGTTATTGAAGCTTAAGATAACTTCAACTAACTTGTTCTACATTACTATTCTGAACCTGCTCACAGGTCAGAAGCCTTTTTACTAGAACGTGTGGTTGAGTCAGTAGCTTATCAAAGCCAAGGTGCTTTATATCAGGTCAGAAGCCTTTTTACTAGAACGTGTGGTTGAGTCAGTAGCTTATCAAAGCCAAGGTGCTTTATATCAGACCCGTGTTTTCAGGCTCCAAAACATTCACATCATCACGTCTAAGATCACTGCCATTGATTGAATTGTATTTGAAAATAAAATTCCTTTGGATAACTCTGTTTCACTTGGTTCAATATGATTCTATTGGATGTTATATAAAATTATTTGATGTTCATTTTGTTTAAACATTTATGAGAGCATGGTGGTGAATGTGTGGTGAGATTGTTGGTGGTACAAGGTTGAGGTGGGTATGTTCGATCTGGAAACAGCAGTATCCAAAAAAGGTTTGAAGGATACTTCCTTTTGGATGATTTGGAGGCGTGGAGGTGAATGTCATTGGTGGTATGAGGGTGTGGAGGTGAATGTGTGGTGAGACCGATGGTGGTAAATATGAGGTTGAGGTGGGTAGTCTGATCTGGAGATTACCCACGGGCCACGGAACCACAATCACCCGTTCTCTGAGGCACTAAGGGGCGCTCTGAGGCGCCCTGTTGATATGCGCTCGCGGTCGCTGTGCCATAGCACAGCGAAATACCGCTATAGAGAGCGGATCTCAAAACCGCTATATGCCTCCAGGTTTCACCATAGCTATAGTGAAACCCGGGACCCGCTATATAAAAAAAGGCATAGCGCGAGCGGAGCGCGCGCTGTGCTACCGCGCCGCTGCCGCTATCTCGGGCGGAGCGCCGGTGGCGTTGGAACTTCCAATACAAAAGCTTGTTCAAAGAATTGTAGGCGGAAAAGTGGGTTTAGGAGGGTGGTCATGACTGTGGTATCACACGCCAAAGCCTCCTTGAAATACTTATCAACTGGTGATTGCATCAATCGGACCATGGACAAAAGAGTGTTGCCCATTGCTAGTTCCTCAACCCGCAAGGCAAGATGGACCTTGAGGGTGTAAAACTCGGGAATTACCAAGCAACCTGTGCGTCTATCACCCTCCATTTGCTTAGTTAAATCCAGAAAAGGCTTTTGGAACATGTGATAGTCAGATGGAGGTTCAGATGAGGGAAAATCTTTTGTAACACACTTACAGTGAGTTCCATTGTCAACTCCTCAAGGGCAGACCAGTTGTCTGGGGCAAAGAAAATTTCATGAAAGTATCCATGTGCCTTTCGATTGCCCTTTTGATGTTTCTTTTTTTCACAAGTTTGAGATCATCAGCTAAAAGTTTGTTAACAATCTGACAATACAAACATGTTATCAATTGCAATAAAATATAAGTTAAAGTTTTATAAACACTCACTTTGCATGCCTGGACACTCCAATTAAGTGAATCAAATTCCGTATTCCAACAAGTGGCATTGTAACCGGGAGTCAAAGGTAGAACTTTCAAATTCATAATACTTGCTATTCCTGAAAAGTGTCGCCTCCATGCAACAGACCTAACCACACAACGTGATATGAAGTTGGCCTGAGTTGGAAGTTAGCATTGAAAGGATTAGTGAGATGAAATTGACCAAGAGATGAAGTCAAATTTGTTACTTACCTTGCTGATAAGGTCATTTAGGCAAATTGCATGCTTTCTTGAAGCAGTTGTGTGATAACTACTTGTGAGATCTGGAGCTACCTCAAATGTAGGTTCAAGGTTGTCCGTTTGATTTTCAGATTGGTCATTGTAGTCCGGCACGTCATCTGTATATTCATCGTCTTCAGAGCCATGATTGGTTTCAGCCTCTTCAGGTGCATTGTGGTTATCATCAGCTAGGTTGATTACAATGGGTGTCAAAGGGTCGTTATTGAGAGTGTCCTCATTCTCTTCAGCAATGACTGGCAAGGTTCCTGAGAAGGGAAATACACCCAAGATATCTTCACGGTCCTGCAATTGCAAAGAAGATGTACAACCAAGTTTTTCCAAACGTCTTTTTACCGTTGAAGAATTCTTGTGGAGGAAGCATCTGGCGTAGTCAGTACTTGGGTTCCAAGTGTACTGAAGGCTGGATTGATCCTTATTTTCTTTGTTCTCATGGTCTTTGTTCTTGTCCAGATATTCTTTGATTTCTTCATGTAGCAGGAATTGAGTGTGCATTTCATTGGCCATTGTGATGTTGTTAGACCCTGAATCAGTCACCTGCGCAAGCATATGGATACTATAAAGATAGAAAAAGAGGCAACAAAAATAAAATTAAACAACATTAGAAAAATTTGAAGGAGTGAAACTTATCTTATATTGAAGGTTATGCTTCTTCATAAAATGTACCAAAGGCTGTGCAATCCAAACCCCCTTGTGATGCCAAGGGATCAACTTAAGGGTTAGATGGTGTACCTGATAATTCCAATCTGCATCAATGAATGTCACAGCGGCCCCTAAAAGGCATGTATGTTGTTGTGTGTTGTCCAACCATAGTGTATAAAGGTGAACTTCCCAACATTGTTCTGTCAGTTACAAACAAGTAATTGAAATGTTAGTCAGTCACAATCAAATTGAATAACATTTTCTAAATGGAAAAATACTGACAGTGATTTCTTTCAACACTGTGGCTTGAAATGATGTGTACATACCAGCCGCTTCTCTAGCCACCCACATACATCCAAAGATCTTTGAATCTTGTCAAGCATACCAAAAGGCAAGGTGTAGCAAAGAATCCTCAATGCAATTCCAAGGGAACACCTCAGATAGAATCCAGACTTTGAGAATCTGGTCAAGTACCTTGTTCTTGAAGGGGAGGTTGCTGCTGAAAAAGTCTGACATCTGTTTTTGACCTGCTGCAACAACTTTGACTTCAAAAGCAGATGGTGGCAATAGCAGGCCACTGTCATTAGCTTTCTGCCGCTGTTGACACGGGGATTGACATTGTTTTTGTTGTATCCATCACAATGTGTCTTGAGGTTGGACTTTGAATCAGCAGAGATTTGCACTTTCTTCTGGCACCAGAGACACAGGTAAGCCACCAGAGGCAGGTCTTGATTCTGTCAATTGAGAAGAAAACATAAAAAAGGAAAGGATAAGTAAGTACAGTTATCTTCAAACCACATAATGACACCTTTGATTGAAAGGTATTAAAGTTACATCAGTTCCTTCATAAACTGGGGTTCCAAAATGATCCTCAACAGGTTCATACTCAGGCCCCTTGTCCCCTTCCTCGTCACCATCACTAGATTCCAAAATCTTTGCTTTCTGACAATAAGTGAGGCCATTGTTGGAATCTTGATTCATTTTGCATTCCAGTGGCTTATCTGATTCATCATTACCCAGTGGCTATCCAATTAAAGGTATCATCAGTATAAATGTACATTGTTATTGTAAACATTGTACAATCACTCACCTTAGACAACACAGAAGGTGATTTCTTCCGCTTCTTGTCTGCCTGTTGGGAAGATCCCACAACATTAGTTTTTTCAGTCGGGGTGTTCTTCTTACGCTTCAAACCGGTAGCTTGTGGAAGAGAGATCACGGTTTGGCTATCAGAAGAGGGTACAACCATTCCAGGCAATCTCTCGCAAGGTGTTGGTAGCCTGGTTGAACAACAAACAGGTGTTGACAATACAGGCGGTCTTGAGGACTGCAACTGTTGATCCAAGGATTCAGGGCTGCTACTACTAGACATAACAACAAGAATGAAAAAAGATAACAGTTCCAAAAAATAGGAATAATAATGATCAAGTGGAAGGATAAGGAGTCAAAGTAGGGAAACTGATTGATCAAGTCCTAGTGGAGTACTTAATGGATGGGTGAAATAAAAAAATTGTTGATGAATCAAGCGTTTGTAATTGTTATAAAGATAATTAATTCTCTCTGTTTTTAGTCATGACATCATAATCAATTATCCTATGATGTTGTTACTTTTTGCTTCCTTCTACAATCCATTTCTTGTACCATGGTTATACGAGAATCTACACATATAAGAATGAATGATTCTTCCTCTTGTTTTTCCTTCTTCATCCATTCTTATTCTTTTGTTTCTCGTACCATCAGGTACTTCACTTTACTTGACTCGTGTTCTCCACTCTTTGCTGAGAACACTTCGTGCTTCCTAAAGGTTTGTCTTTATGAGTTGATGATATTACTTTAGTAATCCATTCTTATTCTTTTGTTTCTCGTACCATCAGGTACTTCACTTTACTTGACTTGTGTTCTCCACTCTTTGCTGAGAACACTTCGTGCTTCCTAAAGGTACTTCACTTTACTTGACTCGTGTTCTCCACTCTTTGCTGAGAACACTTCGTGCTTCCTAAAGCTTTCACCTTTATAGGTTATGAGCCCAGAGCTGCCCTAAATCCAACAAATCTCATTTATCAACTCTATGAGCAATCCAAGCTCTGAAGAACTACCGAGTACTCCAGCTTCACTTCCGGATCTCGATACCAATTTCGAATCCAATTTCAGTAATCCAAACTCACCTAATTCTTCACAATCATCAACGCCTACCGGCATAAACACCGAGTCAACATTCAATCCAGGAACACTCATTCCTCCTACCACGATGTCTGGTGCACTTTTGACTACCGAGTTCAACTCCAGCACTTCAGACTCTAATTCAGGAGTTCCTATTCTTACTGAAGATAATTTCTCCACCTGGTACCTTAAAGTCGAAGCATACATTATCTTGAAGAATCTTGATGGAATCGTCGATGGTATTGAACCTGTACCTACTGACCCTGTCCTCAGAGCCACCTATGACCTTAGATGCAAATATCTACTTGGATTTCTTCGTTTAAAACTTAGTGACCGCATTTCGGAGTTGCTAATCAATGAATCGAACAGAAGAAACCCTATTGAACTATGGAAGACCATCATAGCTCACTTTGCATCTACTAAAGCTCGAAATCGCGGACGTGTCTTCTCTCAACTTTTCACTTTGTCTTGAGATGGGTCTGATCTTCAAGGATTCATGACGGATGTCAAGAAGCCTCTTAACACTACAAGAAAGATAATATTTTCTGGGCAGAAAATTAAATTATTGATACACAAAAATATTGAGAGGCCCCGATAGCTTGTACAGCTTAAAAACCATGATTATTCACGGAGCTGAATTGATGGACCAGAAACTCTCAGTTGATTCTGTTCTCAACAACATTCAACAATTACGGTACACAAATATCGTTCTGGAAATTTCCAGAAGGTTTTTTCCAGAACACCAGAACCCTTCGGGAAGCCTTCTGGTGTTCTGGAAAAAACACAAATTCAACATAAACTCTCTGCTGCAGCCTGCTGCAGCTTCCCCACATACCCCGCCTAACAAACATGGATCAAGTGATCGACGACCATACTCCCACCTCCAGCCAACCAAGCAGCCCTCAAGAAAACCAAGTCATCACACCGTTCACCTTCCAAATTCACCCATCTTCTCTTCAGGCCTACCCATCAAATTTCAATTTGAACTCCGGATCACCAAACTTCTATACACAACCTATTCCTGCTACTGTAATTTCACCCTCTGCCTTTGGATCCTCCTTCAATTCGATGGCTTCTCTCTCTCAACCTATCAAACAACCAGTCTCATCAATTCAAAAGAATTCAAGAACTGCCAAGGCCAAAAAAGGTAAGGCCATGTCAACATCCACTCGCAAAGCCACCACCAGCAAAGTCCCGAAGTCCAATTCAAAAAGAAAATCCAAGAAACAAGATGCAGAAGAACCCAACGATAGTGTATCCACTCGAAAAGCACCAGTGTATTGGGAAGAGGAGAAAAATGAGAAGGGGGAAACTGCGATGAGTATTCTGTTGAACTGGATCACAACTTATGGTAATTGGACTCGGTACAAGGATAAGACTCTTGTGAAAAGTCATACGGTGGAGGAGATCATCGATTATTTAGCTCAGCATGGTTTTTATGGCCGAAGTGTCAAGAACGTGGAAGGAAAGGTGAGTCTCAAGACCATAAAGCTTTTGAATCTCAACTGACACACATGATTTATCTTACAGGTTTCGGAACTCAAAAAAAATTCATTTCGGGTCAGATGTGGCTAAATAGCACTGGTCAGGGTGTAAAGAATGGAATCGAAGCAGAGAAAGCAAAGAATGGCTGGACTGATGACCATCCAGAGTATTTGAACCGTAAGAAGTGTTTGATACAGGGTGAGTGAATCCATCCTCAAGCACCCTTCTGAATCTCCGACTGATCATGTTTTGAATCAGATTATATTATCAAACACCACTGTAAATATTATTATGAGCTTGAGGATACAATGGGGACTTGAGACAAGGGTACTCGCCTTGATGGTGCAAGCAGTGCGGTACCAAACTCTGCTGACAATTCTTTAAATTGTTTGGGACTGTCATCAAGGCTGATCGAGGCCTCACAAGTCACTGAGAGTCCCGACCCAAACACTCGAATCGAAGATGATCACTCACAAGCTTCCAATGATGAGTACTATTGTCAGCTCACCGAGGAACAAAATCTGGAAGACAATTTCAACCAAGAAATTCGACGTGCTCTGAACAACAATTTTCAAAATGATGGTGAGTTTGTCTCTTGTAATTCATACAGTATAAACTAATGTTCATCTGATTTCATCTCTAGGAGAACCGAGTCAACCGAATCAAACACAGAATTTGTATCACGGTAGCTTGATCCAACCATCACAATCACACCAAACTCACAAACCGGGGGCTGAAACTCGAGTCAGTCAATTATTGAGTCAGCCAGACACCGAGTCAAATTCTTCAATCACTCGTCTTGAAGATGTCCTCATCAAGAGTGAACTCGAAAGCAATACAATGAAGGATGTTATGAAGGATTTGGCCAGTGCTTTGATGCCAAAAAAGGATTCAAAAACCTTATTAACTGAAGAACAGCTGTTAGAACAAGCACAGGTCGATGCGAAGCTCAAGATTTGTCAACTTGAAGCGGCTCGATTAGATGTTCAAAAAACAAAGCGGGCTATGGAACTCGAATTGGCAATGGCAAAAGGACAATTCATCAATCAATTCATGAAAGATAACAATGTTGCTTATGAACAAGCAAAAATAATTGCTGATGATTTATACAAGACTGTTGAAAAGACGTAAGGATATTTTCAATGTTCTATGCGATAGACTTCTTGACTGATTCTTTTGATTTATACTTAGGTCTGAAAACTGATCTAATCACTTACTCAAGTTTATAAAAAAACGGTATCGGTTTGCTCAGATTTGAGACAATTTTATTCGGTTTCAAAAGGTTCTCGTTTTTGAAGTTCAAATGTTTGTCAAGATGTACTTGTTGAAAAGTTTCAAATTGCTTTCAGAAGCTATGTAGACAAGATACCCAGTCGGTTTTCCTGGGTCTCTTCTCTACTCTTACCTAAATCGTTGTTTCACAAATACAAGTCTGTTAACAAAACAAGTCTTATAAAGAAAAATTATTTTCCTTCAGTTTCTTCCCTACTCTTACTTATATCGTTGTTTCACCAAATAAAATTAAGAAAAAAGTTATTTTCTATCTTTTACCTTTGTTGATTTGAAATTTATTGCTCGTTTTTGGTCATTGTTTGTGGTTTTGAATAACCAAAACCTTTTTGAAGTAGTATCATCAGTTTCTTATCAAAAAGGTGACCATAAATAAGGTCAAATTGAAAAATTTAAATTTGAGTGGCATTTTTTTTACAACAGAGTCGATTTGTGAAACTAAAACAAATTCAATCAAAGGTTTGAAAGCCAATAAACCAGTGAGAACGACTCAAAGTTGTGAATTTTAGTTCAACAGATAAGAACGATTCAAAGTTTTGAAATGTAGTGAAACAGATAGACGATTAATTAACCCCTTGGAGTCGCTATAAACTCAGCAAAAAGACCATCTCACCTTGTAGTATCCTGCCTGAAATGATTAACATCAGTTGTTTGTCCAGAAGGTTGGTTTTGAGGAGGCCTTGCATTTCCTACTGAGTGAATCAGGCCTTCTTCAATTGATCCAAACTCGTCATGCCATTCTTCCCCACCAGCCTTTGAGAAATTATGTAGAATTATGCACGCACGGATCCACGCATTCGCCCTTTTCGCACTTGACACCCCACGTAAGATTATCCTGATTTCTTTTAAAGACTGGAATCTGCCTTTAAGCATACCAATACTTTGTTCGATAATGACCCTCCACTTAGATAATTCTTGATTGAATGCTTCTTGATTATCCCTCAAGTGGCGACCAACAGAGCGTTTGAAAGGTGTGATTACATGGGGAGATAAGGTATAACCTGAATCTGCCAAGAGAAACTCTTCCTCGTTCATGAAATTGGCAGGATCCGTGAAGAGCTGGGTAGAAGTCAGTTAAACTCCATCTCATCCATTAAGCTTACCACAAACAAACTTACTAAAGAGGAGCGATAAACCCTTTGATCATGAGCCGAGCCACACCAACCAAGTTCATAGAATCGGATTGACTTGTGTACGTCACACACTAACATCACATTGAAAGCGTAAAAGTTTTTCCGTGTCCAATAGTCCTCAGGATTTCTCACCGGCGCAAAAGCAAGTGGCATGAGAGTTCCGTCCATAAATCCCACCGTATCTTTGAAAACAGTATCCTTCATTTTGGATTTCAGTTCTTGTCGTTCATTTTCTTTGGGCCAGAACACCCAGTCCTTTTCAATTTGAAGGATCGCATAAATACATCGATTCTTCCAATTTTGGACACTACCTTCTAAACTAATTAATCGGATCAGTAAATAGAATCAATGTTTACCAAACAAGACAGTTCACTAACCTGAAATGTGAAACATATATGCCAAATGTGAAAGATCACCTCCATTTCCCGAAGATCCCAGGTTCGCTAGAGCAACCAAAAGCTGCCATGGTACAGGGACTTGCTTGTGATGTGATTGGTTGTGAAATACACCACTTGATTGAATCAAATCGACTAATTTCCAAAATCGTTCCTCGCTCATTCGAGCCTACCAGTGAGAGTACAATATCCCTCATTAGCAGACACCAAGAGAAAACATCAGAAAGCAGACTTACTATACATATAAATGTATCACCGCCTTCCCAAAACCTTTGCGGAAACGCTGCGTTTCTTAAAACTTTGCGTTCGCGCGATCTCCGATCCTGAACATAGCGGGTTGAATTTAAAATTTTTAGAGCCTCTTCAAGCCGATCGAGTCCGTTTTGATTGATTTGACGTAGACGACGACCGAGTAGCACAAGCTTAACAGACTGTGCACTGGCCAAGTGGTATTCCAGCGCGGCCAGCAAAAACAGGTACAGTGGCTTCCTAGCCTCAAATCGATCATCGGCATCATGCTCATCATCTAAAACGGCCTCGGATTGTAAGTTTTGCTGAACGATGATTGCTTGAAGACACCGAAGGATGAAAAGGCTTTCAGAATTCCTCTTTTTCTGGAAAGCTAAAGTTAAAAGGTCTGTTTGTGACTGATTCTTCTTGTGAATTGCCAAGTGAATAGACCGTTTCAGAAGTCGACGTCGGCTTTTTCGAACCATTGCAGGAGGAAAGGCAGAGTTAAATTGAAATGCAAGACCGAGAAGTGCTGAGAGTTGAGAAAAGTGATGTGGGAGGGTGTTTGATGTGCGTGGTATGAGGTGTGTGCTAGCGGATGTGTGGTTGGGTTCAGTACTCAGGTGTTGGGCATTCTGGAGTTTGGGGCATTCAAAGTTCCAGAACGCCAGAACGCCAGAACACACCAAAAAAAAACCTTCTGGCGTTCTGGAAAAAGTGTTCTGGAAATTTCCAGAACGATATTTGTGTACCACAAATATGTTAACGACAAGAAGGTCTCCATCAACACTAGCTCATCACCATCTGCTTACACTGCTCGTCGCAATCATCCTGTCAACAATCGCACTCCATCTTATCCTGTCTGTTCCAACAGAAGACATAATCCGGACACGGCTCACCCATCTGATCGCTGTCATCAATTGCATCCTCATTTGAAAAACAAACCTAAGACTCACTCTGCTACCGTAGCCTCGACTGGCGAAAACTTCTCTGAATTTTTTCCTTCCATCGTACCTGGTCCTCCCGCTATCACTTCGTACCTTCTAGCTGCCGTGCAAAGAAAATGGGACAAAGTGATTTGTCTATTGGATAGCGGCGCTTCCGTGACTATGTTTCGCGATCAATCTGTTTTCAAAAACTACTCCGAATGCTCCGAAAACGTTTATCTCGCTGACGGAAACGCCATACAATCTGTTGGAAAAGGAACAGTCACCTTGAAAGGCCCTAACTCAGAACTCTCCTTCGCTAATGCTCTTCACATTCCATCTTTAACAAGCAACCTTATTAGTCTCTCTCAGATGTTCTCTAAAGGTTTTGAACTTGCTAATAGCGGGAATGGAGCATTCGCTTTACTCAAGGACAAGAAAGTTGCTCTAACTGGTTCTATCTCCAATGGAATTTTCGTTCTTGATGTCAACTTAGGCAAGTCGTTTGCTCTAGCTCTTTCGGCACCGCCACTTTCTTCTGACTCGTAATTCTTATTACATAGACGGCTCGGTCATCTAAACCATCGCTACATGACATTATTATTCAATTCTTCTCTATCTAAGTTTTCATCCTGTCCTACTTGTATCTTAAGCAAACATCACCGTTTACCTTTCTCGGGTACCCTGCCTAGGCCCTCAGCTCCTTTAGAAGTCATCCATAGCGACTTGAGTGGTCACATTTCTCCTGAATCAATTGGAGGTGGCAGATACTACTTCAAACTCACAGATGGTTATACGAAGTATAAACATGTTTTCATCCTGAAACACAAGTCCGAAGCTTTCTCTTATTTCGTGCAATTTAAACTCTTAGTTGAAAAACAACTCAACCTGTGCATTAAGCGTCTCGTAAACGATAATGGTGGTGAATACGTTTCAAATGAGTTTCTTTCGTATCTCCGTGAGCATGGTATCTCCTCCGACTTTACTGCACCCTATACTCCACAGCAAAATGCTATTTCGGAGCGAGGCAACAGAACAACCACAGAGAGAGCCAGATGTATGTTGATCGACGCGGGTTTACCCAACAAATTTTGGGGTGAAGCTGTTAGCACAGCTGTGTACATTGAAAATCGATGCCCTGAAGCTAGCATTGGCTATAAAACGCCCTTTGAAATGTGGACCGGCAAGCTTCCAACCCTTGGTCACCTTCATGTTTTCGGATGCGCTGCTTATCCCCTGATCCCCAAACAACTTAGACTTTCCAAATTTAGCCGAGTCTCTAAAAAATGTCTATTGCTGGGTTATCAAGAGCGATTGCACAATTATTGCCTGTGGGATTACGAGCAAAACAAAGTGGTCTATTCACATGACGTCATCTTCAATGAAGAGGATTTTTCTCGTTCCACTCCTTTTAAAGCGCCGCCTGATCTCAACCAGTTACTTGAAGATCTACCCTCCATCCCACCTGTCTCACCAATGTCTTCGCAACCTGATGTCACAATTTCCTACAACTCTGATGTCTCTTCAATCGACTCTGTTGTTCCTGTTCCGTCAGATGTTGATTCCATTCCATCTCACGGATTGACTCCTTCGCCTAACTCTTCGTCCGAAATTCCTAGTCATGGATTAACTCCTTCTGACAGCCCTATGTCTTCATTGAATGTATCCTCTTCTTCCTCCTCACCATCTCCAGTTGAGGACAATACTGAAGACTCGGCACCAATCACTTCCGCCGGTGACAAATCGGATGACGATTATCATCCCATTGACACTCTTGGAGATGTAAGCCCTGATACCTCGTCTATGCTTCCGCTACCTCCCGACCAAGCTCGCTGGTACTACGAACCCCATTCCTCTGTCGCTCCTCGAGATATATCTTCTTCTATCAGTCCCAATAACATCATCACTACCCGCCGCCGGGCTAATTTGGCAAGTACTGATAATTCCTCCCCGAAATCCTTCAATCAGGCTCTGCGCGGTCCTTTGGCAGATGAGTGGATGGCTGCGATGAACACTGAGCTTGACAACATGGCTCGTCAAAACGTCTGGTCTGTGGTCAAATTGCCTGAGGGATGCACAGCTATAGGTACCACATGGGTCTATAAAGTGAAGAACGATGCCGACGGACGCTTCGTCAAATTCAAGGCCCGCTTGTGCGCACAAGGGTTTTCTCAAGTTCACAACGTCGATTATCAAGAAACGTATGCTCCTACTGGATGTAAGTCTACGCTTCGGGTATTTCTGGGTGTTGCTGCCGCCAATGACTACGACGTTGAACAAATGGACGCAATTGCCGCGTTTTTGAATGGCGTTCCAGACGAGGTCATCTACCTCCAAATCCCTCAAGGTCTTTGTGTAGCAAATCGTACTGCTCGTACGGTTCTAGTTCTTCACAAATCTCTCTATGGCTTGAAGCAGTCTCCGCGCTGCTGGTACTTCAAACTTGTCTTCTTCTTCAAAAAGATCAACTTCCGTGCTTCTTTAGCGGATCCTTGCTTATTCATCAGTCTCAACGAGGCTGAACCATGCTACGTACATGTTCACGTCAATGACTTAACGATCACTGGCTCAAAAGAAGGTATCCGATTGTTCAAATCACTCATTTCGAAGGAATTCAACATGGACAACTTGGGTCCTGCTACTTCCATCCTGGGCATGAAGATCACCCGCAATCGCGCCAAACGCACCATCTCTCTATCGCAGGAGAACTACGTCGAGAATCTCCTCAAAACCTACGGGATGGCTAATTGTGCTTCTGTATCAACTCCAATGGTTCCGAACACATGTCTTACTAAGGCTGATGAAGCTTCAATCAATGCTTTTCTTGCTAAAGGCCTAAACTATTGCCAAGCCGTAGGATCTGTCAACTATCTCGTTCAATGCACTCGCCCTGATTTGGCCTTCGTTTGCTCTCAACTTTCTCAACACCTTGAAAAGCCCGGCACTGAACACTGGGCAGCATTTCATCGCCTTCTCCGATATCTCCGTGGCACTTCATCTTACTGCCTGAACTACAGTTCTCCAGATCCCGTGGCTGGTTCTCTCGCCTACTCTGTCCCCGTTAACTTGGCGGATTCTGACTGCGCCGGTTGTACCGATTCTCAACGATCGACTTCTGGCTACCTATTCATGCTTTTTGGTGGGCCAATCAGTTGGAGAACGAAAAAACAGCCAGTTGTCTCCCTGTCCACAACTGAAGCCGAATACAAATCAGTTGTAGAGGCCGCTCAAGAACTCCTGTGGCTGGACACCATCTTCAAAGACTTGAACATTCCTGTCCCTGACACCATTCCTTTGTTTAGTGACAATCAAGGCTGTATCGCTTTGGCGACAAATCCAATCTTTCGCTCTCGCACTAAACACATCGAGATCCAGTATCACTGGATCAGAGAACAACTACTCAAGGGTAAATTTTTGTTGACATACAAACCAACTTCGGACATGACGGCCGATATCTTTACTAAATCACTATCGCGAATTCTTCACAACCGTTGTGTAACAAGCATGAACATCAACAAGTAATGGAAGAAATGGTTTTTAGAAGCAGGGGGGGTATAAAGATAATTAATTCTCTCTGTTTTTAGTCATGACATCATAATCAATTATCCTATGACGTTGTTACTTTTTGCTTCCTTCTACAATCCATTTCTTGTACCATGGTTATACAAGAATCTACACATATAAGAATGAATGATTCTTCCTCTTGTTTTTCCTTCTTCATCCATTCTTATTCTTTTGTTTCTCGTACCATCAGGTACTTCACTTTACTTGACTCGTGTTCTCCACTCTTTGCTGAGAACACTTCGTGCTTCCTAAAGGTTTGTCTTTATGAGTTGATGATATTACTTTAGTAATCCATTCTTATTCTTTTGTTTCTCTTACCATCAGGTACTTCACTTTACTTGACTCGTGTTCTCCACTCTTTGCTGAGAACACTTCGTGCTTCCTAAAGGTACTTCACTTTACTTGACTCGTGTTCTCCACTCTTTGCTGAGAACACTTCGTGCTTCCTACAGCTTTCACCTTTATAATTGTAGGGGTCCAGTTCCAAATCAAAATCAGGTTTGCAGTCGCAGGGGTCCAGTTCCAAATAGAAATCAAGTTTGTAATTGCAGGGTGCCAGTTCCAATGTGTAGATTGGCCTGTATAAGAGGGGGTAGGCTAGTGCTGGCCATGATGTCATTGGGTTACGAACACAAAGGATTAGGTGAGCCCTTGATTGAAGATGAGATGGATTTGTGAGCTGAGCCTGCAGGACTCACCCTCTGTGCCGTATCACCGGGGAATGCTTGATTTTGGGGCTGCATTGCTGACAACAGTACTGCAGCCGCAGCGCAACAGGACTGAAATGTGGACCGCAAGAGGCAACACACCGGGCAATCATGTGATATGATGTGTTGCTCGGCATTGTGCTCATGGTCCCGTTGCTCTGTGTTGGGTCTTTATAGCAACGCGGCGGCCCAATGTTGATCATGATTCTTTAGAAAGGATGAACAATGATGTGTTCAAGATTGTCAAAGTTACAGAACATAATTTTAGTAGGAAAGAATGCACTTCAATCAAGCTATAATTCACATTTTCCAAGCATTCTGTTTTTCAACAAAAATTGTTCAAGTAAAGTTGACCTAAAACCCCATGCCCTCTGACCACTTTTGGGCTCAGAAACCCAGAAAGAGAAAGTGATGAGTTATCTTTAGGAAAGTATGGTTGTTATTGTCAAAGGCTTACAAATTTCAGACAGATACTGCAAATGTCCACATTCAGCAAATCCAATTAAGTTCTCACTCAAAACTCAACATTTTGAACATTTGAGGGCAGATTCAAGATCCTCAGTCTCATGTCTGTGCATATATAGCTTTTCTCAAACATGACCTGCACTTGTGCCTGGGTTGTCCAGGTGTTGTTTTTGAGTGGAAAGTTGGATTTGATAATCAAAAAAAAAGTAAAATAAAGAAAAACAAAGTTGTAATCAGATCCTTTAGAAAATTTATAGATGGAAACCAACCAGGTTGAGCATTCTGGAGATGGTCTTAGGAACTTGAAATGTTGAGTTGTGAGCAAGAACATTCAATTTGAAGGTTTTGGCTAAAATTTATAAGCCTTTGACATTAGCAACTATAGTCAAACTGTTTTCTTTTGAAAAAAAAGGTTTCATCTTACAATCAAGACATACTTCATTCATGATTCCTTAACCAAAAGTCTGATTAAAATAAATCAAATCTTAATCATCATTAAAACGACTTTTTTTAAATTATAATTGATATACTTTTTAAACCAAACCAAACCATACCAAAAAAAAGGAATCAAACATTACACACACGCACAAAAGGATAAGCTGATATATTTAATTCAAACTGATTTTCGTCAAAAGTTTATAAAAAGAAACATCATAAATCATTCAAGAAGTTTTCTTAATCAAGACACGAAAAAAAAATCATCACATCACATCATTTTTTATAAAAAAAAAGGACATCCACTTTTCATCACTAAACTATGATTGCACAAACTTCATTAAAAGAAAAAAAAAAGAAAACCCAATCCTAAAACCAAATAAAAAAATCACAAATAAAAAAAAACGAAAAAAAAAAAATCATCAAGAATAAAACCAACACCTTTTTTTTGATATATATCAAGTTTGAGTTTTGAATTAAAGTTTCTTATCTTTGAATCTTTTGATTCAATTCAAAAATTATTTCATCTTTTAATCTAATTTGATTTTCTTGATTCTTACATAAGCTTTTCAACTTTAAAACTTCAAGATACTTCAAGATCCATCTGACCTTCATTAGAATCCAAATTTGATTTCTTATTCAAATCTTCAGCTTCTTTTAAAGATAAACGTAAATCTTTAATAATCAATTTATCAATCGAACGTTGATTTTTTAATTTTTTAATCTTAAATTCCAAAGCGTTCAATTTAATCAATTGAAGTAAATCATTACGTTGAATTTCCATTAATTTCACATGACTCGAACTACCCATCTCTCGTATCTCTTCTTTTAAATCAATCAAATGTTGTTCTGAATCCAACTTTCTTCTATACATCATTTTGTTTTCTTTATTGATCTGTTTGTTTTGATGTTTCACAGTTCGAAGGGATTTATTTAACTTTCGATTCTCATTCAAGATTTCACTGATTCGACACTTTCGATCGTTTCGATGTTCAATGAGTTGATCATGTAAGCTTCGACATAGTAATCTGATCTCATGTTCATTCATTTCATCTAACCCTTCAAGATCTCGAATCGGTGGATCGTATTGAAAATGAAACGAATGTGAATCTTGAGCAGGTTGAGAATCTCGAGCAGATTGAAACTTAAAGTACGATTTCGATTTAACATGTTTCTCTCTCAATTTACCCACCACTCCTAATCTCTTCCGTTTCGGTCCGGCTTCTTCTGAGTCTGAAGAAGATGGTCCTTCTTCTTCTTCTTCTTCAGGTTCAGAACCAGACGAATCAGATCGATCGGTTTGATGATGGTCTCGATCCTGTGGATCTTCAATCACCGTATCATCCGAACTATCTGGATGATAACTTGGATCTTCTAGATCATCAAACTCTCCAATCTCATTTGATACTTCATGTTTCTCATTCATCCCTTCATCTTCACTCGAATTCAATTTTGAATCTTTTCTAGAAACTTCAGTGGATTTGAATCGGATCACAATCTTAGTAGGTTGAGGTTCTGGGGTTGTTTTGTCTTGTAAAACTCCTCCTAATCTATGTCCAGGTGCGTTTTCTAATTGGTTGACTAAGTTTCCAAGAAAGCTTTCAGCTTGTGGTTGAGGTTGAGGTTGAGTTTCGGTAGGGAATTTATCAATCGGAGTGTTTAAAGCCGATTCGAATCCAGAATTCTTGGATCCATTTGAATGTCCATCAAGTGAAGGAGTGGAAGTGATCGAATTCAGGTGAGTTTTTTCGTTCTGACCATCGGTTTGTTCGGATTCAGATCTTCTTGGGTTTACTAAGATATCATCAACTCGGATATCATCTGGGTAAGTGATTGGATTGAGTCGATTTGATCTGATTGGGGTTTCTTCTACTTCAATGGCATCTGGTGCAGGGTTTGGGTTGGGTATATGTTCGTCAACTAGGATATCGTCCACTAAGATATCATCCACTCGAATATCATCAATTTGAATATCATCTTGTTGGGGCGTTGGGTCGAGTCTGATGTCGTCAATTTGGATATCATTTTGTTCAGGTGTTGGGTCGGGTCTGATATCGTCAATTTGAATGTCGGATTCTTCAGGTGTTGGATTAGGTGTGATTTCATCAATTTGGATATCAGATGATTGTGATACCGAATAAGATTGAGTATTAATAATTGGTTGAGTAGATGATTTAGAAGTAGAAGCAATCGGATCAGATTGGATTTCTTGATTTGTTTTTTGAGTAGTAAAAGTAGAAGTAGGTTGAGTTGATTGTTTAGTAGATTGATTTGGTATCTCATAATCTGATTGATTAAATTGATTTAAATCGAAATTCGGATCTGGAAACAGTCCTCCAAATGTAATGGCATCTCTTAGATCAGATGGATTATGTTCGTAACCTAAAAACCCTTGGTTTAATGTTAATGGTAAGTTATTCGGTGAAGGTGGTGTTGGTGTTGGTGTTGGTGTTGGAATGGATTGATTTTCATTTAAGAAATCTAAAAATGACTCTAATGGAGTTCTAATAAAAGTTTTATTAATAGTTTCCTTCAATCCGTTTAAATCGAAATCCCAATTTGAATCTGAAGTTGATGATTGATTTAAATCTAATAAAACTTGAAACAAATAAGTTTTGTTTTCTTTAATTTCGATTTCTTCTTCTGATGAGATACATATGATTTCTTCTTCTTCTTCTTCTTCACTTTCATCTAAATAAATCACATTAGATTGAATTCGCACTTTGGTTTTGATTCTAGTTTTGGTTGATTGGTTAGATTTGATAAAAGTTTTATAAGTTTTTTTGAATTTGATTCGTACTTTAAGTTGGTTTGGTTGAGATCCTGATACCTATCAGACCATTCAATCAGTAAGATTATTCATGGAATAAACTCAATCAACTTTCTCAACTTACAATTTGGATTTCTTTAATATTCGGTTTACTAATCTGATTAAACTCTTTAAAAGACTTCTTCATAAAAACTTCAATCCCCTTTAAACTTTTAAATTCGATTCGATCTTGATCTTCATCTTCATCTTCTTCCATTGGATTAATTTCAATTTCTTCATCTTTAATCTTTTCTTCTTCACTACTATAAATCAATGAAATCTTTTCATCTTCTTTCTCCACATTCTTGCCTGATTGGATTACTTCAAATATTTCTAACCTTTCATATCTTAATTTGTATTGGATTTCTTCTTTGGTTATGGTGCTTGATTGGTTAGATGAACTTGTACTTCCGCTCATGTTTGATAAGATGAAATTTTTTCTAAAACGAAGAATTGAAAAATCGAATTGAAATTGGCGTGAACGTGTTTGGATTAATCAAAGATCAAAGAAAAGGAAAAGGAAAAGAAACTCGTTTATGAAAGTCAAGAAAAGTTAAACAGGATTTATGTAGATTGTATATAGATTTTAGATTTTTTAGATGTGTTTTTTTTTTGAAAAGAAAAGAAAAGAAAAGAATCTTTGAATTAAAAAAAATTGAAAGGGAACTCAATAGAAAATTGATTTTAACATTTCAATTCGTGATTTGAAGTTGATGATGAGCTTGAAGTGAAATTAAAAACTTGACTCAGTTTTTTACTTATCCAATCATTGGATCATCAAGTCTCCATCATAATCATACTGAACAATTCACTTCCATAAATACAGATGTAGTATTGGATTTGCTCAGAAGATAAAGAAAAACTGAGCTAGAAAATAAATAAATAAAATATCAGTGATCTGCGGGACTGCCAAACAAACAAACCAGTCTATATCATATTGCGTATATCAGATATATGTAAGCATCTAGATGGTGAGTTGATAACGACTACGACGACCTACACAAAAGAACAAAAGGTGTTGTTTGAAAACTTAAAAGAATCAGATTTGGTACAGTGACAATTTCAGTAAGTTTCAAACTTCAAGCTGATCAGGCTGAGCAAAGATTTTCATATTTTAAAACTTGGATTTGGGTGATGTGATGATGATTTTAACAGATAGAAGATAAGCTTAACTAAGCCCCTCAAGACCGTCTGCGCCTCGCCCTCGTAATTGAGAATCAAGATTATGTATCAAGTTGAGCGCGTCGTACTTTGTTAAGGTTATTCCCGAGAGGAACCTTCAGTTGGGTAGATCAGAAGACTTGATAAAATTCTTTAGGATCACTCAGATTTCTATTTGTATATGACCTGCTTCAACATGAATCTGATCCATTCCGCTCACAAGAATGAATCATCTCTTTTGGATGAGTCTAAGTTCAAATTTGTAAGTTCTTCTTTTTTTATTATATCTTCTTTCTTTTAGTTCGATCTATCTATAAACTAATTAATCATTTGTTCTTCTCTCCTCATTTGAAATCTAGGTTTGTATTCTTTATTTTTTTAGATTGATCGATTTCATACTAACTCGTTGATTTTCTTGATTATTTGTTTTTTGATTTTGAATCTCATCATGTTATTATCTTTTATCTTGAATTGAATGTAATAAAGACTAATGTTTATGCAAATTGTGAAATAAATAAGTTATAATGAATATGATTAATAGAGAATCTTGAACTGAGAATTGTAAATTGCAATTAAGTTGATTTTAATAGATCTTCCAATGAAATCGACTCTGAATTTTAAAGGAACACATTAAAGAATAAATAAAAAATTGTTTCTTAGAGTGAGATCTAAATTGATTTCCACACCGCTCATTGGATTAGTCATTTCACACTGTTATGATGTGAGATGACTCACCCAATGGACAGGTGAGCCACCACGCTTTAGCTGCTCACCCTGGCTGCCATGTGTAGCTCACAACAGGTATTGCACTGTGGACAGCGCGTGATTTATTGGCAGAGAACTATTTCACGTGAATCTCACGTGCCAGCTGCCCCGTGGTGTAAGTTGAGCAACTGGGCAGACAATTATTTTCTTGGTTTGTGATTTTATCCAAGAGTCAAATTGGAACCATATCTTTTTAAGATCACTTGTTTCTCTTTTTACATCAGACTCAATTCAAAAATGAAGAAACTAATTGAAGTTTTGAAAATGTTTGCTCTCATGAGTTTTGATCTTACATAACGTATAGAGCGAAGACAATTTCGATCAAAACACGTTTTCTAGAAATAGTTTCTTTCAAAACTCCTACAGCCCTTTGCAGAATTGATGACTTTGGAAAAAGAGAAAACACTTGAGTTTTCAAAAAAACCTGCGAGTTTTTTTCAAAAACTCATCCATTTTTTCAAAAACTGAGCGAGCTCTTTCTCTTTTAGACTTACTGAGCCAGGTTTCCAAAAAAAACTCACTGACTTTTTGAAAAACTCAGCAGCTTTTTGACAAAACTCAAGGTTTTTTATTTGAAAACTCGATGTTTTTTTTTCTTCAAAGTCATCAATTATGCAAAGGGCTGTACATTTTTCCTTTTGAAAATGGAAATATTTATAATTTACATCTTTTCATTCATGATTTCATTTGAATGGTAAATAATGAATGATAAATTTTGGCTTAAAAATTTCTAATCAATCTTTTCCATTGATTTCATCAAAACATGCTTATAAATTCTTACATATAATTATTTCTTTTTCACATAAACAAACCATGATTAAACCATTTGAATGATCTTGACGATGGTTTCTCAAACCGATCACTCCAATCAAAGATCCACATGGGGTTTGATTCAGTTTAATAACAGATTGATCTAATTGAATTGATTTTGAATGTTTCGAATGATAATAAATCATCATATTTCCAATCTGTTGTTTACCTTCATCATCCATGGATACACGTGAATCTTCAAAGATGATCGTTTGATCTTCTGTATAACAACTTAATCTTATATCTCGTTTTGATGCCATCACAAATGACATAGCAGGAATGGTTTGAATATGATCCCATTGATAAACAGGTGACATCGATCGAGTCGAACTGATAGGTGACTCAAATACAAGTCCGTCTATATCATTCTTAATCATGATCGATGATCTTGATAGGTTGGAACTTGGGATTTCAGGTTCGAGATTATGAACCGGTAAGCTTCTAGAGATAATCTCCACTGGTATCATCTCATGAGGTGTGATTGTGATCCAATGAGGTTTCGATTCCAATGATTCATCACCATTCACTGGACTTAACCATGTAAAGACCGCTCCAAGACTTTGACTCTGATTTCCCGAATCAATCTCATCATCCACTTCGGCATTACTTAGACCGATATGCTTACCACCCAAACCTGTAGAAGGTGGTTGGCCCGAAGTAGATCCAGTGATAGGTATAGCACCGAGACCTTGTTTTTGTTTTTGAATGGAGCTTAGACTGCTATCTAGATCTAGATCAGTTGTATACTTTTCGAGCCTGGATCGAATGGCTTCATAGTCAGCTGGATCAAAGACTTGATCGAGTTGATCATCAGATTTAAAGGCTTGTGGCCAACGTAGCTCGTGTCGTTTTTCGAGCTCTATCGTAAGAGTAGTATGACCTTGATCTGAAGTATTCGTATACCAAAGTGAGTCCTTGGGTTGAATTTGATCCCAAAGCTCAAGTCGAAGTAGAGCTGATGAAGAGGATGAATCAATAGACGTTTTGAAGTATTTGAAGAGAGTACGGATATATTGATCAAACTTCTTTGCCAAATCTGTTGTCAAAGAGGTTGATTGAAGTTTTAAAGTAATTTGATTGGCGTCAAAAATAAGGTTAAAGGATTTCGTAGGAAGTTGTTCGGGAATCGGAAATTGAATCGTCAATGTTGTGGAAGTTTGTGACCAGCTGTACGGAGGTGGGATAGGCGATTCGGGTAAGACCTCGCTAGTTGGTTCTTGGGTGATCTGATGTAGAGTCTCATGTGATTTGACTTCATCGGACTGGGACTGAGCGATGACAAATTTTGAACGAGAAGCAAAGCACCACCTCTTGTAAGCTGGATCGAATTCGACCAGAATCAAATCATGCTGTCCCGTCAGTTCAGCCAATGGGATTAGATGGAGGTCGAAAAGAGGCGGATCATCCCCATCACACATCACTGGTGATACTCGTAGCTCGAATAGGTGTATCTG